GAATCTACGAGTCTCTGACTCGAGTCTGGCTGACTCGACGGAAATAACTCGAAATTCTCATCGCATGCGAAACAGCGATTTATTCCAAAAGAGAATGAAGTCAGAGCGAACCCCTGCGAAAGGCTACACGGCCAATGGGGGAGAATGATGAATATTGTCCGTTTCACCTTCCGCTCTAGATACTGAAGACCTCAGTCTGTAACGGTCACTGACCGGTCACCACTTAACCCGTTCACAGTGTTTTCAGTGTGACCCATATTCGGATGCTCTTCTGTGTTCAACCCTTTCCTATGACTCGCTATATATAAGGACAATAAACCTCAGCCAGCCAAGGGGGAGCCCAAGACTGACTCTAGTATTCCGTGTGATCATTCTAGCCGAGGTATCAACGAGATACGTATATCTCTTCACGAAACACAGACGAATGGAAAGTGGCATTGCGCTCGTAGGTCGCTCCATGAGTCATCCTTGCCTTTCGTTTCCTAGACTTCGTTTCGGTCCTAATTTGGATAATATCATACAAGGAAAACATATAGAGTTCCAGGAGGACTATAAATACTCAGGGATCACCATATGCAACGCTCAGAATTACCTCCTTGTACAGGAACCTCATATATGGAAGAAGGAGTCACACAACGTGAAGACTCCCTGCTCGGGTATTGTGGACGTTCAACAGATTCGAGATCACACGAATCCAATGGATGGCCACGCTGTACCGAGGCTGACATACCCGAACGCTGTGTTAGCATCGAGAGCATCTAAGCAAGTCGTAGCCCTGTTCGATAGAGCTCAGGTAGCCGCGGGGAAATGGGTCATGGGAAAAACTGGACACAAAGTGGCGTCAGACTTCGTGCTCGGCGAACTTATGTGGTCCACATTCGAAGCCCGAGAAGCACAAGAAAAAAGCGAGAAGCTAGGTAATGTCAACGACATTACCGTAGATCCACGTGAAAACGTTTAATGACGATTTTTCCGGCAAGCAGTCGGCTTGCCGAGGTGTCAAATCATGGCAAATAGACCTATCCTTCTATCGGCCCACTGTTGGATGGAATAGGGTTAGTTTTCATGAAAGCTCGGTTATAGCCCACTGATTGCCCGACGGGGCTGCGATATTCAATCATTCTACGAGAATGGTTTTCGTGGTTCGAAGGCATCGATACCTCTTCTGAATCCCGTCGGCATAATCATCGAAAACTGCGCCAGCTATCGAGTTTCGGAAGTTTTTCCGCTTCACGAATCTAGAATCGAAAGCCACACCTATATACCAATTGTAGTCCTTGGGCTGCCGAAGTAGGACGTCTTTTCGGACCCTCACTGCGGCTTACTCGACGAATCCGCTAAGGTACGACGATTGGTGAATGTTTTGTGCCTTCAGTCCGTCCTATAGCGCGTGGTCGTCATCATCAAGGGAACGCAGTTGCGGCGCCAGCGGAAAGCTTTGTAAGCTATAGCTTCCCAAGCCTCTGAAGTCGGGAAGCTTAGCTTCCTAAAAATGCGATCATATGTTCCATCGGTTACGGAGCATTCAGACTGCTGCTGTCGATCATGCCGGGTTGAATTTCTCGAGGTCACGAGAAAGACTTGATCGCGCACATGCGCTTGGACGCACTTCACGCACGCAACCCCGAAACGGGGGTTTCCTCTTTCATGATTGGGGATACCCCAGCTGATATCCGTCATCAACATCTGACCGAGAGCTGAGAACTTCCAAATCAAATCGTGGACGAATTCGCCAAAGGCAAACATTGAAGAATGCCCCTAGTGGTACGACTGTGATTCAAACGAGTAAGTGAGTCGTATCTCAGCTCGTCGCACGGAAAGTAACATAAGACGGAACGCGGAAAGTCTCCGCTGTTTTACTATATAATATACATAGATATGGATCATTGTATGCATCTATGCAACACTAATACTTGTCTTATTATGTAAATCTTTGTGTCTCCGAACGCGCTTCCTTGTTCGGGGGAAGCTGTATCCAACAAAAATTCAAGCTTCCCAAAGAAAAATGGCTGGCGCCGCCACTGAGGGAACGCGGTTAAGTGTGAGCCTTGCTTTTGACGTGGAGGGGACGTCCATATGATAAGTAATCATAAGTTATGATAAGTTTGAGCTGAGTTTAGCTTCTTGAAATTACATTCGTGTCCCCATCAGGGAAACATCAGCCGAGTGTTGTGCAATGGAGGCCTTGACAATCTTCAAATGTCGCAGAAAGCGGAGCCTCTCATCCATGTTACAAGCATGGCGGTACACGTTTTCGGGGAAGACACGCCGGAATTGCTGAGTTTGCGTTCCACTGCAGTAGTGTAGTAAGAATATCGCATGATTCCGTCATCATGATGGAATTCAGATCTCACTGTGCCGGATTCGATCGCGACCGCAGCTCTTCTGACCACGGCGACCTTCGGAGCCGGAGCCGAAGTCGACTCTTGATGAGTCGGTACCATCCCAGAAGCCAGAATTACGAAAGCCAGAATTGTGAAAGCCAGAATTGCGAAAGCCAGAATTCTCGAAAGCCAGAATTGTGAAAGCCAGAATTGTGAAAGCCAGAATTCTCGAAAGCCAGAAATCGCGAAAGCCAGAATTTCGAAAGCCAGAATTGTGAAAGCCAGAATTGCGAAAGCCAGAATGGCGGGAGCCTGAATTTCCTGGGCTCGGAATTGAGAGAGCCGGACAGATGTTCGCCAGACGAGTGCCACGGCGGTTTCCTCTGATTTCCTATTTTGAACGCGCGCAATGTCGCAAGGGTGCCTGGCTGGGATCTTGAAGGAGACAAAACCGATACATTGGACGGAGGCTCATCGCTGCAGCTGATCACAACAGTCTTCTGTGCTGCTTAGAGAAAGTTTGAGCTAAGAGGTGTGCTTCGAAACTTCGCCAAAATTGCAGATATAATGATCAGAAGATCGGGTTGGAGTGCTTGTACCGCGGTGAGACGCCGAAAATAAAGGTTTGTTCGTGAGCTGGGTGTTTTCTGTCTCCAAAAGATTTGTCCAGCCCTCACGACACCTCACGAGTCCATTCGGAGGAACCGCGACTCATCGATTAGGATTTTCTCCTCAGGGTAGGCTCGAAGAGATTGGGTATCTCAGAAGTATCACTTGGGCACACGGCTCGCAAAATATGGGTAGACGTGACAGCACGTCAGAGCTCCAAGTCAGATTCCCCGAGCTTCGTTTGTTTTGTTCGGTGGTCTATCGTCATAGTAGCTCTCCAGATCTCTGCTCGCGATATCCCGCTCCAAATCTCTGCTCGCGAAATCCCGCTCCAAATCCGATTCGGCAATCCCCATCTCTTGAAAGTTCTCCAGTTGACATGGCTATTCAAGAGGTCAACTCCGCGAAGGGTAAAACCCAGTACTTCGTCGATCATTACCTATACGAAGTGGAGAAGTCGATCGCTGAAACCTTGTACTGCCGTTGCGTGAAGCAGAGGAGGGAAAAGTGCCCCGCGAGGATCATTCTCGTCAGATCGCCAGAGCTCATTGTGAAGAAGCTCAACGGAACTCATACGCACCCGCCGGACAACGGACAGTTTATCCGCCGACAGGCCTGTGCTGAGATGAAAGACGCGGTTCTGACGCAGGAAGAGCGAGGTGTCAAAAGGATTTATTCCGAAACACTGGCCGTAGCAGTGCGAAACCTGCAAGAATCCTACGAGGACTAAGAGATCGGTGCATCCTTGCCTAGTTACGAGTCCGCGAGAGCCGCCTTGTATCGCGCTCGCGCGAAACTCGTACCGGTCTTGCCGCAGACCAGAGAGGAGATAGTAATCGAGGGAGACTACTCGAAGACGAATCGTGGTGAAGATTTTGTCCTCTTCGATGACGGGTCTGATGACAAGATCATCGGGTTCGGTACGCTGACCATGACGAGGCTCCTCTGCGAGTCAGGGACCGTGTTTATGGACGGTACCTTCAAGGTAGTCCCACAGTTGTTCACGCAACTGTACACATTACACTGCTTCTATAAAGGGCAGATGTTTCCGATGGTGTTTTTCCTCCTCCCCGATAAATCGAAAGACACCTACTGCAGGATGTTCCGGCTTCTCAAGGATTACGCCGCTTCGAACGGCCTGATTTTCGCTCCGCGATTTTTCCAGCTAGACTTCGAGGTCGCAGCTCTTCGCGCCATTCAGCACGAGTTCCCGTTGTCAGGGATAAAAGGATGCAACTTCCACTACAATCAATGTCTGTGGAGGAAAGTGCAAGCATCCGGTCTCGTGCCCTACTACTCCGATCCCTTGGTGAAGAGACTCATCCGTTCGTGCTCAGCGTTGAGTCTGGTGCCTCTGGACAGAATGGATGACGCATGGTTAGCCATCGACGCGGATTCCCCGCCGACTGATCATCCTGCGTACGAAAGAGTAGAAACTTTCAAAGACTACTTCATCCAGACTTGGCTCGAGAATCCCGATGTGTTTCCACGTAGTATGTGGAACCACTTCGGGAATTTCGGCGCCCGTACGACCAACCATGTCGAAGCCTGGCATAGCGCCTTGAGTCGCACGGTTCGAAAAGACCACGTCAACATTTTCGAGCTCATCAACTTCTTGAAGAAACAAGAAGACAAGGGGGAAGCCGACAGACTCTTGCTCCGAGCTGGGCAACCCCCACCGAAGCTCTCCACGAAGTACAAAGTTTTGAACGATCGGTTGATCCGACTTACAGGAGAATTGGAGACGGGTGTGAAAACGCTGATCGAATACATTCACAGCGTCGGTTATAACTTAAACAACAACTGACGCGATCCCGACCTCCGGAAATGACGGTCCCCAGTAATTGTGACGGACGGAGGACCATATCTCGATCCTAAGAATAATAATAAGCAGACGAGTTACTTCGCTTTCTGCCCTCCCAGTATTTTAACCGTTTTTTTTCTTTCG